TCTTAGACGCTTCCTTTCTGAAATCTCACTTACATCAAACGCACCATTGTCTTCCTTAAATGACTAATGTCCACTCTAACCGCCTCCTGTCTCTGTAACAGCACCATTGGTTTGAGAAAGGGACTCAGCCCTTAACTCCTGTATCTACTCAGACATGAATCTTGGAGTCTTCCTTTGAAATGGCTCCAGTATCCACTCTTTCCTTATCCCTGTGGCCATTATCTGAAATCAGTTTTTCCTAATTTTATGTCTAGATTCCCATCAGTCTCCTAAATAGCCCACCTGACCAGGGTCACTTCAGTCTAGTCAGAAGGCTTTTGAGGTAGGTCTGTTTCAGATTCCCAAGTCCACTGCGAAATTTAATGTTTCTTCATTTGCAAAATGGAGACACTACGACTTTCCTTGAAGGGATGTGGTAAGGAATGTGACATTTTGTAAGGTTCTCAGCACATCTGTTGGTAGGGTAAGAATTCCTGATTTTTGAACACTTGATTAGAAGCCCTTTGAACTACGGGACCAGATCTTTTATAATACTCGCCGCACATACACTTACAAAGCACACCGAGTATTTGTTGAATAGTTTGATAAAGGCCAAAATAAGAGGCATACTTTATAATACAACAACACTTCTTCACATGAAAGAGTTGAGCTTTGAGAACACAAAATAAAGCCTTAACATCCATTCAGAAATAAAAAGCAGTTCAGTAAGTAATGCAGTTTGTCCATCAAGAAAATACTACCTTGAGCATCTCAAGACAGCAGTCTGTTTTTCCTTTTACCACGACTGCCCTTAAAACACCAAGATGGGATTGGAAACACAAAATATAAGATGAGAAAGCAAAGCTTGACTCTGCTCTCCTTGGTGATCTAGCCTTATCACTTTTCCAGTTTGAACTGGACTGCTTTTGGCTCAGAAGACCCTGGCGCTGGGAACTGAGAAAGGCCGAAGTGAAGCCTACAGGAAGAGGAAAAGCGCTGGCTACTACGGGCTGGCCCCAGGCACAAAGTTTTCCAAAAAAAAAAAAAAGATTTTCTAACTAAAAATGGAAAATGGGCTACTTCCGACTAGTACAAGTAAAACTAAGTGACAAATCATTTGGTATCCTTGTGTAGGTATTTCTAGAACATATCAGATAGATATATTTGAAACTGAGACATCCCAGGAAAATCTCTGCCAATCATCTCCAGATTAGTCAGCCCAGCTCCCCAGGCTCAGGAGGGAGAGAGGGTCTCGACGCAGACGTCTGCAGGGACAAATGGTCCACAATCTTGGAAAACATGGTTAGACAGTCCTCTCACACCAAATGGCTGGAGTACAAATTAGTAAAGCCACTTGGAAAAGTGGTATGAATCAAAAACTATGTATTTATAATAACCCTCGACTCAGAAATTCCGCCTCTAGGAATTTATCCTAAGGAAGTGCTCTGTACATACGTGCTCTGTAACACTGCACCATGAGGTGCAGCTAAAGCGTCCAGCAGGCAAAGCTAACAGGGAGGCAGCATCCACACAACAGTTTTTAATGATGTGGAGTAATGCTTGTAGCCTGAGAACAAAATCAAGACACAAATTATACTGAGAATGAATGAAACTATATGAAATCATACACTAGTAGCAAAGACTGGCAAGAAATATGGTGCTTCCCCCCCCTTTCTGTATTACCTAGATTTCTCACAAAAGCATGTATCACTAACGTAAACAGAAAAAACCAAAACAGTACTGAATCAGGCAAGCATTAAAGAAAAATGGGCATTTTTATGTAGCTTCATTTGTTTCCGCTGGGAATCGGAGCGTGGGTCCTAACAACAAAGTGGGGGCTTACAAACCAGTCATCCATCTGATTGGAGCATCAGACTCTTAAAAAGGCAGGGAAATTATTAAATTTGTTTCCACAAGTTTTACCACATTCACGTAGAACTGCTACGGGAAAAAGGTGGTCAACCAGGTCTAGTCATCGGTCACTGATCTAAATGACAACTCCACAACCCAGAGGCCCAGGGCCACAAAACACTATGCCAGAGCCAAGTTTAAATGGCACACGGCCTGACATTTTCCAAGTTGAAAAAGAATGGGAAGCTAAAAGTGTTTACTTGGGTGGAGGGAAGAATGAAACCGCTGTGTGTGTATGTGTGTTTACCCATTGGGGGCTGGAGAGAAAGGGTATACCTGAGAACTGCTGCTTTGCAAAAATCAACTTTACTTACAAAAACAGACTGTTAACTAATGAATACCTTTTGGCAGAAGAAAAGCAGACAAGTTGGTTACTAAATGACGAACGTCCTGGACTGATGAAAAGGGAGAATGTCTGAAAGGACTGAATCTAAAGTCAGAATAAGCTCTGTTGAGTATCATTCATCTAAAATCTGACATTTTACCTTTTTTTTTAATTCCTTAAGATTCTAGCCCAGGAAAACTTTTATACCAAGAGTTATGGTTCTCCTTATTTATACTCACAATCTCTCACCTAAGCATGGCATTTTCATTCGAGCTTTTCTGATTACCAGACAGATGTCCCATAAGCCTCAATTTACCTCTATTGTTCTGTTTGGCCTTTATAATTATCCTATGACAGATACTAAGTGTGTATACCTTCTGGGTAGAAATGGAAACAAAACCCTAAAGTGGCTCACCTAAGGGTCAGAAAGTTAGTGAAGTTCAAGTAGACCTTAGGTGTGAAGCGAGGCTCCGCACCCATCACACTGCAGGAGTTACCAAAGAAGGAAATCCCTTAACGTTTCTATGTGAATGAAGATGAAAGAAACAGGTCGGCTGAGTGTAAATGACAGACTCGTAATTGCAGCTTCTTTCCTTAAACATAACCACTGGTTGGCTGACATCTAAGTAAAAGCTATAGATGACCTCCTCTGAAACCGAATCACACTTGTTTGAGCAGACAGCTGGGCTAGTAAGAGAAACTGCTACAAAGTCAGGGTCTTACTAGAAATATTTAGTGACTGTACTGAAACAAAGGACAATGGCTTAATAATAAGCACGCTGTTGTCACAGGGCCGAAAGCATAAAGAAAAGTACTCACCTTCAAAGACACACACACAAAAGTCCCAATTTTAAGGTTATAAACTTAAAAGTATATTTTAAAAAACGTTAGTCGCCTGCATGAGATAAATTAAAAACTGACGTAATTCAAGGGAAAAGCACCAAAAATGAACACTAAAACTGTTCGCGTAAAATCGTGAACAGGAAACAAAGCACAGCTGTAAAAGCAGAGGTATCACTTACAAGAACCAAGTAGATTAACTCGTTTCTATTAATTTTCTCATTTACCTTAGAAAACTTTGTTGGTTAAACTGGGAGGGGAGGGTCTCTGAGAATCCAAAGGGTAACAAAATGATAACAAATATACAGCATTTCTTTATTAACAAATTATTCCACACAAATCAGTTTCCTTTCTCTATCTGATTACAGAGTTAGCAGAACTTGCATCCATATTTAGAGCAGCGACATGTAGCGACATAAAATGTTACTAGGAAGAAATTCTGTATCTGGACCAAAGAGCTGTAACTTGGACAAAGAAGGTCAAATGGGCAACTATGTTAATACTGTGAGAAGATGTAGGTTTGTTTTCCGTGTTTTTCATAATAAGCAGCGCTCCAAAAGGGATAAAACACTAAGGGGATGATGCAGCTGAAGAAAGGATGATGCAGAAAATGACAGGGAATTAAATCAGTACAAAATGAGCACAGAGGCCAAGAAAACTCGAGAAAGTGTTAAAAAAAAAAACAACAACCCAAGCAGTGACCAGTCAGCTCCCTGAAGCCGCACCAGACCTGAAGCAGGGTGTTTCCTATTCTAACTGAAACAGGCAGACTCTTCATCTGGGCACTTCAGTTTGAGAAATCAGATTAATCATTTTATTAAAAACAAAAAGGTTTATTTTTAAAGTAGATACAGCTTAGGGAGAGAAAGCTAAACACTAGGGAAGTATTAACTCCTTGAGAACTCAAAAATGATTTAGGAAGCCAAATGAAGCAAAGGAGAATAGAAAATTTGGATAAAAAATGTTTCTCTAAGGGTAAAACTCAGTTTCCTGAGAGACTT